CATGCTCTCCAAGCAATTATCTGTCTCCTAAAATTCAATTCTCTAGGTGCCCTGACACAAAACAGAGGTTGACTGTGAAAGCAAACATAAATATTTCTGTTACTGAAAGGGCTATCCTTACTTAATAAATGTACTACAGTTGTACCTCAGACATTGGAAAGTTTTGTTAGCCAAACCAACTCCTCTAATTTATTAGTGTTCTGATAAAATGAAAATTTGAGCCTCACAAAAGATAACACCTTCCAAGACTATGCTAAAGCCTTTGACTGTGTAGATCACAACACACTGGAAAATTTTTAAGGAGATGGGAATAACCAGACCACTACTTGCCTCCTGAGAAACCTGTATGCATGCAGGTCAAGAAGCAACAGTCAGAACTGGACGTGGAACAACGACGACATTTCAGCTTGCTAAGTTATAATCACATTTTATGATGTCTCCCAGATTATCCACATCTTAGAAATTCCCCACACTCTTTGATAATATGTAAATATGTTTGGTAATATATAAATGAAGTCTCTAGGTTTGCAGTTTTTATTCTATCAATAGCATTTGACATAGTTAATTGCCCCCTCCTTTTAAAAACACTTTTCTTCATTTTTAAGAAACTTTTTCTTTCCTTAGCTGGAATAGCTTTAAGCACTAAATGAAATATGGAGGAAAATATGGCACTGTCATTTAGAAGGCAAGGAAACTAGACAAGGTTTATGTTGTACTTTGTTGGGAGGCTTCATAGCACAAGGAAGGTAAGAGGAATATATCAGTGCAGAATTCTTCTTCAGCTAGTCAAAGAATATCTCAGGTCATCATGTGAATCTCATGTGAATCTGCATCCCAATGATATGTCAGTTTGGGATTTAGATGACTGGAACCCAGAGTTTTCAAATAATGATATGTTTTCCAAAGATACAGGGGAAATGTTATAAAACAGCTGTCTCTGTCTTTATGTGTCTCACATTCTCTAGCAAGATCTCTATTTTTATTGCAGGGTTGTTTGAAAGTGTGAAAAGTGTATTTTGATGCTTTCTGGCATCTAGTTTACTTATCTGAAAGTGTTTTATCATTTTTCTCCCTTAGGAAGAAAATAATGAGAAACAACTTTTTCATGCCAAGTATGGTGTAGAGTTAAAGAAATGTAGTCTTGCATTGATATTATGTTTTAAAGATTTGCTGAGACTCCCTGTTTTCTACAAGTTTCAGAAGTAGAGTTCCTTGAGAACATTAGTTCATAGCATTACCTAGGGTTTTTTTTTTTGGTTTTTTTTTTTGGCTGTGTCACATGGCATGTGGGATCTTAGTTCCTTGACCAGGGACTAAACCTGTGCCCCCTGGAAGCACAGTCTTAACCACTGAACCACCAGAGAAATGACCATAATGTTACCTAAATTTTAAAGAGCAATTCCTTTACTCAGTGCTGACTTTACCCCTTTTGTGGGATGAAAGTTACCTGAAAGCACTTTATCATCCACATTATTAACCAACACGGCAGGGTGATCATCACCAGTTTTGCATATATAGCAGAGGATTTACTTAATCTGAGATTAACTTTTCTGATTACTGCCTTTGGGATATGGTCATAATTACAGAAACCATCAATAAAAATTTTGGAAGGAGGAGAGTTGTGATAGTATACTTATAAAAAACATCTGGAAGCTTATTACATTTATGGAAAAGGCTTTATCTGCTACAATTCCAAATAATTTTGTCATAGAGGTGGAGTGATAATGAGGAAAAAAGTACATACAAAGATCTTGTTTCCAAAAATGGAGAAAAAACTAGGAATAAAACATCACTTAACCATCACCAAGCCAATTGGTATAATCATTCCCATTTGAAGAAGTTCATATTCATACCTAAAGAAAATTATAAGCACATGAGAAATGTTTTATCTTATGTAGATAAATGACTTAAAAGGAATCCAGGTAAATGTAGCTTTCAATCAATTATATGCACAGGATATCAATTATATATGGATTCCAGAGAAAACTGGATTTCTATTTTTTCTTTTTTATAATTAAATCTGTGTGCCAGTTATTAAAATTTTTAACTTAATTTTTTCAACGTGTATTTATATACTGCCTCACATGCATGTCTATGAGAAAGTGGTAGGAAGAAGTGCTCTACTGACTTTTGTGTAACAGAATGACCATTAATGATTGGTTATCTTCCAGATTGATTCAAGTTAAATAACAAGAGTTAACATTAACTAACAGAGATTAATTACATGTCAGAAGTCTCTTGAAATAGTCCTGAGAAAAAGGGAAGTAATTTGATGATATGTAAACCCATGTTCCTTGGGAATAGTTATTTTCCCAGGATACAGAATAAGAGAAAGACTGATAAAATCTCAATACCCAGGATCATTAGCATAGGTCTTGGGGTTTGTATATGGGTGTCATATACTTTCTTACCCTTTGGAGCCATGCTGATATTGTTTTCCTTTGCCTGAAACACTTTAGTCAGTAACTTCCTCTTTCCTACCTCACCTATCTAATTTCTATGTATTGTAAACATCTCAGCTTAGACTTATTTTCTCAGGAAATCTTCTGTTTTAGGGTTCTCTAGAGAAAAAGAACCAATAAGATATGGATATATAAAATACATAGTCATAATAATTTATCATAAATTAATATGATTTCTAATAAATATATAATAATATATTTAATAATGTGTATTCATTCATACATACATACATATGTACACACATATAAATTGTAAGGAATTGGCTCTCATGATTTTGGAAGCTGGGAAACCCAAAATCTGCAGTGTGGGCAGACAGGCTCAAGCCCCAAGAGAGTAGACCATGCAGTTCTACTCCAAAGGCCAGCAGACAAGGGCCAGATGAGGTCTGAAGTCAGACTGCTGGAGAATTCCCTCTTGCCCAGAGAGCTTGGTCTCCTCATTCTATTCAGGCCTTCAATATATTGGTGAAGCACACCCACATTAAGGAGGGCAATCTGCTTTACCCAAAGTTGGCCAATTTAAATGTTAATCTTATCCACAGATACCTTCCAAGCTGACACATAAAGTTCACCATCATACCTTGCCTCTTTTAACCCTAATCCAAGTTTGGATTTAGAGCCCTGGATGCCTGAATTAATATTGTCAGTACAGTGTAACTTTTTTTGGAGAAAGCTCAGAAATAATTTATTTTATAAAATTAAGAAATTGCAGCATTTCTGGTTTGCAGTTACACTAAACATTCTAGATGTGATCTGACCACCATTTGCAAAAAGATTATTCTCTTCTGTGGTCTAGCTGCTATACTTCTGTTCGTATGACCCAGGATTTCATTTATTTTACTCTATTAAAAAAAATATAGAATCCCTTAGAAGAAACGGAGTAGCCCTCATAGTCAAGAAAATAGTCCAAAATGCAGTACTTGGATACAATCTAATAAACGACAGAATGGTCTTAGTTCATTTCCAGAGCAAACCATTCAACATCACAGTAATCCAAGTCCATGCCCCAACCACTAATGTCAAAAAAAGCTGAAGGTGAATGGCTTTATAAAGACCGACAAGACCTTCTAGAACTAACACCAAAAAAGGATATCCTTTTCATCATAGGGGACTGGCTTGCAAAAGTAGAGAGTCAAGAGATAACCCGTAGTAACAGGCAAGTTTGACCTTGGAGTACAAAATGAAGCAGGACAAATGCTAACAGAGTTTTGCCAAGAGAATGCACTAGTCATGCAAACATCCTCTACCAACAACACGAGGCAACTCTACACATGGACATCACCAGATGATTAATACTGAAATCAGATATTATATTCTTTGCAGCCAAAGATGGAGAAGCTTTATACAGTCAGCAAAAACAAAACCTGGAGCTGACTGTAACTCAGATCATGAACTTCTTGTTGCAAAATTCAGGCTTAAAGAAGGTAGGGAAAACTACGAGGCCATTCAGTTATGATCTAATTCAAATCCTTTAATGTTATGCACTGGAAGTGACAAGTAGATTCAAGGGATTAGCTCAGGTAAAGTCCCTGAAGAACTATGGATGAAAGTTTATAACATTGTACAGGAGTCAGTGATCAAAACCATCCCCAAGAAAAAGAAATGCAAGAATGCAAAGTGGTTGTCTGACTCCTCAGACATAGCCTCACAAATAGCTGAGAAAAGAAGAGAAGCAGAAGACAAAGGAAAGGGGAAATACATACTCAACTGAATGCAAAATTTTAGAGAATAGCAAGGAGAGATAAGAAAACCTTAAGTGAACAATGCAAAGAAATAAAGGGAAACAATAGAATGGGAAAGACTGAGATATCTTCAAGAAAATTGAAGATACCAAGGGAACATTTCATGCAAAGATGGGCTCAATAAAGGACAGTAATGGCAATGACCTAACAGAAGCAGAAGATATTAAGAAGAGGTGGCAAGAATACTCAGAAGAACTGTACAAAAAAGATCTTAATGACCCAGATAACCATGATGGTGTGATCACTCACCTAGAGTCAGAGAAGCTGGAGCGTGAAGTCAAATAGGCCTTAGGAAGCATTACTACAAACAAAGCTAGTGAAGGTGATGGAATTCCAGCTGAGCTCTTTAAAATCTTAAAAGATGCTGCTGTTAAAGTGCTGCACTCAATATGTCAGCAGATTTGGAGAACTCAGCAGCAGCCACAGGACTGGGAAAGATCAATTTTCATTCCAGTCCCAGAGAAGGACAATGCCAAAGCATGGTCAAATTATTATACAGTTGCACTCATTTCACATGCTAGCAAGATTATGCTCAAAATTCTCCAAGCTAGACTTTAGTCCATGAACTGAGAACTTCCAGATGTATAAGCTGGATTTAGAAAATGAAGAGGAGCCAGAGATCAAACTGCCAACATCCACTGGATCAAAGGCAAGGCAAGGGAATTCCAAAAAAAAATCTGTTTCATTGACTACACTAAAGCCTTTGACCATGTGGATCACAACAAACTATGCAAGATTCTTAAAGAGATGGGATTACCAGGCCACCTTACCTGTCTCCTGAGAAACCTGTATGCAGGACTAGAAGCAACAGAACCAGACATGAAACAACAGACTGGTTCAAAATTGGGAAAGGAGTGCATCAAGGCTGTATATTGTCGCCCTGCTTATTAACTTATATACAGAGTACGTCATGCAAAATGCTGGGCTAGATGACTCACAATCTGGAATCAAGATTGCTGAGAGAAATATCAATAACCTCAGACATGCAGGTAACATCACTCTAATAGCACAAACCAAAGAGGAACTAAAGAGCCTCTTGATGAAGATGAAAGAGGAAAGTGAAAAAGCTGGCTTAAAACTCAACATTTAAAAAACTAAGATCATGGCATTCAGTTGCATCACTTCATGGCAAATAGAAGGGGGAAAAGTGGAAGCAGTGACAGATTTTATTTTCTTGGGCTCCAAAATCACTCTGAACAATGACTGCAGCCATGAAGTTAAAAGACGCTTGATCCTTGGAAGAAAAGCTATGACAAACCTAGACAGCATATTAAAAATCAGAGCCATCACTTTGCCAACCAAGGTCTTTATAGTCAAAGCCATTGTTTTTTCCAGTAGTCATGTACAGATCTGAAAGTAGGACCATAAAGAAGGCAGAGTGCCAAAGAATTAAAGTTTTCCAACTGGGGTGCTAGAGAAGACTCTTGAACATCTCTTGGACTGCAAAGATATCAAACCAGTCAATCCTAAAAGAAATCAACCTTGAATATTCATTGGAAGGACTGATGCTGAAGCTGAAGCTCCAGTACTTTGGCCACCTGATGTGAATAGCTGACTCCTTGGAAAAGACTCTGATGCTAGAAAAGACAAGAGGGCAAGAGGAGAAGAGGGCAACAGAGGATTAGATGGTTAGATGGCATCACTGACTCAATGGACATGAGTTTGAGCAAACTCCGGGAAATAGTGAAGGACGAGGAAGCCTGGCTTGCTGCAGTTCATGGGGTCACAAAGAATCAGACGTGACTGAGCAGCTGGACAACAGCAACAACCCTATTTTATCACTCTGGATTTGTTATAAAACCACTAAATCTTAGGCCAGTTTACTTCCTCCTCTTCTGATCCTATTTTATAGTAATTGATAGCTTTTAACATAAAGTGTGTATCTTCAGATTATAATTTCTGGTTTAATATGTTAATAGCTGTTTAGTCCATCTGATTGATCTTAGAATCATAAACCTGAGAGGAAAAATAAACATTTCATAACTGAAGCCTGGAATTTAAAATAAATGTTATAGAGATTTATCAGATCAGGTAATTTGTGTCAGAACTAGGTCAAGCATTCATGTTTCCTGATGTCTAGTCCAGTGATCTTTGGCTCAAGAGACAACAAGTACTTGTTACATCTCCAGGTAGTGTGTTAGATGCCATATTTTGGCTAAAATTATTTTAGAATATATAATAACTTTATAACATGTTACTGCCCATTTTAGTTATAGAAGAAAAAAGATTGAGATATCAGATACTATCCAAATAATAAGCCTATGTCTTTGTATAATTCAAAATTTAATAGTTTTGTTACATCTTTGTACCTTATTATTGGTAAAGCAGCTAAAGGTAGAGATATTGCTTGACTGTCTACCACTAGGAGCTGTTTGTTCCTCTAACATTCGTGTTTGAGTTATCATTGATTTAACCATTATCTAACCAATTGTAGATTTACCTAACTGAATTACTTTCATTCCCTTCCCTGTCCCTTCTTTTTTAGTAATGAAGTGGAGTTATTTTAATGTGAGTGGAAAGGAAACATAACTTACTATAAACTTGTCCTTTGCCTTGACTTTTTGTTGTTTTTACATCAAATATTGACAAGTCAAACTGTGAAGAAATAAGGAGAATCTAGTTTTTACATTTATTATTATTTCTTAAATAACCCAAATGGCAGTAAAATAACTTTCATTTGAATCAGTACCCTCAGTTGCCCCTCCCACCTTCCAGAATAAGTGCATTTTGCTAAAACATATTGGAAGACTCAGAGTTGAATCTCAGCAAATGTTCATTCCATTCTCTTTGATAATATACAGTGTCCCCATGATATAAATGTTATGGTGAAAAGTGAAAGTGTTAGTCGCTCAGTCATGTCCAATTCTTTGAGACGCCATGGACCATAGCCTGCCGAGCTCCTCTGTCCATGGAATTCTCCAGGCAAGAATATTGGAGTGTTACCATTTCCTTCTCCAGAAAGTTATGATAATTTTGGTTAAAAGAAAATCAGTGTTATTTAGGTTTTTTTTAATTTGCATTTAATAACTGTAAACAGTATGAATCACAGCTTAAAGTGTTTGCTTTGCTGCTGACTAATACCTGGGCGGTTGTAGTATTGAAAGTTAACACTCACCTTTGAGACCTTGGATCTGAAAAGTCAAAACTGTGCCTTTCTGTTAAACATGTTTTGGTTCAGCCATTGACAGCAGATAATCAAATGCCTTGTGATGCTGTTATGGCAGATGGAATTTAGACCCTTCCCCTAAGCCAGGGGTTGGGGGAGGGACAGTGGAAGGGAAAGGTTGATCAGTATGCCTCTCTTTTCCTGATTCCTGATAAACAAGACTTATGGAGAACAGGGTGCCAGTCATCCACCTTCAGAACCAAATGAAAACTTTGGGCCCCATCTCAACTCAGCCTTGCAATTGACAGCAGCGAAAGACTAGCTTTGTCTTTAAAAACCTGGGCTTCCCAGGTGGTGCAGTGGTGAAGAATCTGCCTGCCAATGCGGGAGACACACACAAGAGACCTGGGTTCAGTCCCTGGGTTGGAAAGATCCCCTGGAGTAGGAAATGTCAACCCACTCCAGTATTCTTGCCTGCAAAATTCCATGGATAGAGGAGCCTGGCAGGCTATAGTCCAGGAGGTCGCAAAGAATCAGACACTGAGCACACACACACAATCTTTCAAAAGTTTAACTACCTTAGAAGATTTTCTAATGCATATTTCAACATATTATTTCAAAGGTTAAAAAGAACTCATTATGTCATACCTGCTAATAACCTAGAAGTGTAAATGGCAGGAGGTGTGAGGGAGATTCAAGAGGGAGGCGATATAGGTACACCTATGGTTAATTAATGTTGATGAATGACAAAAATCAAACCAATACTGTAAAGCCATCATCAATCAATTAAAGAAAATAAACATTTTGAAAAATTGTATGTTTGTTCCTTAAATCACTTTCAAGGAAATAAACAAACCAGGAATGAATGTTTTCATTGTGGCCTACCTATTGTGGTGACTGGAACAGGGCACCTATCTGATAATGAAACTGGGAAACCCCTTTCATTTCTGGAATTTCCTGTTGGGAGTGTAGAGTTTTATGAGCAATTTGTAACATTAGTTACTTACACAGTATGTTGGATTTTACTGCCAGCTCTTTGTTTAAAAAGGGTGTGAGAGGTTTGAGCTAACAGGAATGTGAAGTCAAAGTTAAGTATGGCGTCATTGTACCACCTGTCACATGAATAGACCCAGATTCAAAAGCAAATATGTTGTACTCTTAAATTTTTATCATATAAGCCAGCTATAAAATAATTAGTTTTCTCTCTTACTTTCATCTGATTTGGGGAAACTATTTCTTTTTCACTGAAGGAAAATGTTTAGAGGAGAAAGCTCAGCTCCCAAAGTTGTATCCACAGGGTAATAGACACTTGAAGGAGGATTCTTTGGTCATTACAGGAGAGAGGGGTGCATAATCACAGAATATTTAAATCCCAGTACATGACTGAGTTGATTCTTCAGAATAATGTCCAGTTTGCTGATATTCAGGCCCCAGATCTCCTCTGTCTAGCTTCTTGATAGATGTTTAGTTCTGCCACAGAACATTTCAAGATCTGTTTTGAATAAGTCCATCCAAATCTTATATAGAAAAGCATCTATAGTCAATGTCATTTTAAAGGATGTATTTAGTTACTATGCTATACTTTCCTTCAGTAATATGTTTCCTCATATAAAGATCAGGAAAGCCTTAAGTTAACTTATAATCTATCTCTTTAAGATCAGATTTCTCAGCCTGGGTACTGTTGACATTTTGAGCCTGACATTTCTTTGTTGGCAGGGTGTGGGTGGGAGAGGATTGAAATTGGTGGACTTGCCTATACATTGTAGACGGTTTAGCAATATCCCTGGCCTCTATTCACCCAGTAGCTCCCCTGCCACCACGTGTGACAGTCAGAAATGTCTCCAGACAATGCCAAGTGTCCCCCAAGGCAAAACTGCCCCTGGTTGAGTACCATTGCCCTAAGCCAAAGTAGAATTGTTAGAGAAAAGACTTTAGCAATTATCCAGCTTTGTATTTCCTCCTTTTCCAAGCAGCCGTGAATTACTGAAGATCTCATGACTCCTTCGTCACCGAGATGACTCAGGTTTCCTAACTTCTCAGTTTCTTTTCCTACCATGCCATGCTTTCCTAGTTTGGCTTTAACATACTCTGATTCTCTACTTCTGGGCTTGTCCAACTATATGGGTTCGGTTAGGGCAGAGCCGACCGTTTAGTAACTTACTTCATACTGTGTACGTAAAATCTGTAGTGATCCTTAAGTATTCACTTATGCATATTGTTTTGGGTGGTTTTCCCAAAGTAACCCTGAGGTGAAGATTTATGTAAATGGTTTATCAGGAAATGTTCCCTGGGGAAGTCTGTAGGGCAGTGGGGACATGGACAGGGAAGAGAAGGAAACCAAACAGGGATAAAATAGCAAACTACCAAGGAGGTAATTTTTAAGAAAATATTTTTTTGGAGTATAGTTGATTTACAATGTTAGTTTCGGGTGTACAGCAAAGTGATTCAGTTACTCCTATATTCATTCTTTTTAAAGATTCTTCTCACATATAGGTTAGCACAGAATATTGGGTAGAGTTCCTCATGCTATACAGTAGGTCCTTGTTGGTTGTCTATCGTAGGTTTAGTAGTGTGCCTGTATTCATCCCAAGCTCCTGATTTATTCCTTCCTGCCATGTTTCCCCTTTGGTAGCCTTAAGTTTGTTTTTTTATAAGCCCAAGGAGGTAGTTTGTTTAGTCTCACAGAGAGCTCTGGAGATAGCATAGATCATATCTCAGAAGTATCCAAATCAGGTCCAAGAGAGGAAT